GGGGGGGGGGGGAAGCATATTTGTGAATTTTCTTCCTTGTCCAGTGTGCTAAATTGTTCCCAGATGTGTCTTCCGGTATGGAAAGCGACGCATTTACTCTCCGAGAATACAGGCAAAGCAGCAGAGAACTGGAATTCATAATCTTCATCTTATTCTCAGAGGCCGAAAATGAAATTCATACAAGTACATCACTCTTTGGTTGAAGTGTGGTGTGCGACGACAGTAAAAACGATTCCTGACGTGCACCACGTTTTAGACCGTCAGTTGTCTCGTTCTTGGTTCTCTCAACTATTTCTTTCGTGATCTCTCTTGGTCGTTGTTGCCAGTGGTTTGCTACATTCGCTCATTAGGTACCGAAATGACAAGTAATTATCACCTTGGCTAGAACCGCATGGCAGTTTCCTCACCATGATGCACATTGCCGTTTTGTGTGCTCTCTCCGTTGTTGTATAACAGCACATCATGACCAAATCGGACTGCGGCATACATATATATATATATATATATATGTATACACGCTGGTGATGGCAACGTACGCAGCCATCACAACTTAGTTGTTTTGTCTTGACCTTCGGTGAAGTCAAACTCATGCGTGCGTGGATGGAGCCCCTATAACATGGTTTCTGTCCTTCGATTGGTGCTAATCTGCGTTTACTGAGGCGCTTCAGGCATCATCTTGACGAATGTAGGGTGCATACCAAGTATTTATGACATCGTGTCTAAGCTGCCTTTTTTTTTTGCAGCATACACCTTCGGGGGAGGGTGTGCCGTTCATAGTCCCTCTTCTTTGTTGTTGCATTCGTTGCCATTGGGGGGAATCTCGCTCGTTGTAATCTACGCGCACCACGATCCACCTGGGAGGGATGGCTCACCCAACGGTTGGCAGTGTCTTGTGAAGCGTGGGATGATGATTGTTGCAGCTTCCTCCTAGTGGCGCCTTGTTTTTCCAATCCTAATTTTCTCTTCTTCTGCCTACTTTGTCCCCTCCAAGCCGTGGAAGTGTGTCATTACTGAGAGACATATTTTAGGGTAAGCATATTTCCTTTTCTTCAAGGGTTAGTCATGTCTGTTGGCATTCTGGGGTCAAAGCGTGCTGTTTACGACATCTGGCCACTCAAAAATAAAAAATTCTTTGTTCTGGTGGATCCGCAGAACATACTGGGGGAAACAGTTGATGCAAATGCTACGCTTACCACCATATCTTATCTGCTGGCGAAAAAAGGCTCTGTGGTTGTGGCCGCATCATACGGGCCACTGAGTGGTATTCCACTCAACATGCCGAGAAAGATGCGTGAAGAGGCGATTGAGGCCTTCCGTAAAGAAGGGGGTATGGGTTACAGCAACTTCTTCTTTAATATGCCCTCGCGTACCAGAATGGAGGTTCTGGAAAGTGTTCCAGGCTTCGTGATCCCAGCAACCTGCACGGTGGACAGCAACACAGGGAAGACGCAAGCGTTCTTCAAGTTATCAACCCAGGACAAGGCAGCTGCACTTCGCAGCGTGTTTCCCAAAGCGGAGTTTGCACCTGCCTCTACGTTTCCATTTGTTGAGGTACTCTCCAAACTTCTTCCCAACGTCACCGTCAAGTTTGCGCCAGACTGCCTACGCCCCCCACTGCACCAGCTGGAACCAGGAGAAATTCTGGTCCTAGAGAACTTGCAGTTTTACCGCAATGAAGCCTCAGCGGACCCCGCGGAACGCATGGCAATGGCTGAGGTCCTCGCTGCGGATATTGATGTCTTCGTCAATGAGTCGTTTGCCACTGCCAGTCGGGAGCATGCGAGTAATACGGCGCTACCCAAAATACTTCACCATGGTGCTGCTGGCCTTTCCATGGATCAGGAGTTGGCTTTCTTCTCCAAGTTTCTCACGCATCCTGCCCGGCCAATCGCAGTGGTGGTGGCTGGAACCCATATTCCAGCAAAGCTGCTGATGATACACAGTTTGGTCTGCAAGGTGGATAAGATTCTTATAGCTGGTGCGTTGGTGGCGCCTTTCTTGGCAGCCAAAGGATTGACTGCGGGAAAGTCGTTTAACGGATCGGAGACGGTCAAGCGAAAACACTTGAACAGCCTGAACGAAACGATAGAGGAAGAATCTATTGGATGGACAAAGTTTGCGGGCGAGATAATGGCACTCTGTGAGAAGAATCATGTGGAGCTGGTTCTTCCCGTTGATCACGTAGTTACAAAGCGATTGACAAAAGCAAGTGACAATTCTGGTGCAATTGTGGAATCCGTAAGAATCCCTTCTGACGTCTATGCAGTGGATTGCGGCACCAACACCATTGCACTATTTGCCAAATACATCCGTGAGTGCCATTGTGTCTTCTGGACTGGTACGTTTGGCTGGGCGAGTCTGGGGTACAAGGAGGGCACACGTGCCTTTGCCACCGTCCTAGCACAAGAGCGAAAACTCTCCATCATTGGCGGCCGCAGCACCGCCCGTGCTGTGCAGCAACTCGGATTAGCCTCGCAATTTTCCCACGTCTCTGGTGGAGGTGTGTCATGTTTGGAGGTGTTGCAGGGACATCCCCTCCCTGGTGTGGAAGCACTCTCGGATGTTTCCCCACCACTGGATTCTAAGAGCACCCTCTCGGTAGATGAGTTGCTGCGCAATCTCCCCCTATTCTCGGGATGCACGTCGCACCAAATTAAAGTGGCGACCAGGAAGTTTGCACGGCGTAATCACGCACGTGGTGATTATCTGGTCTACAGGGGTGACCGCCACGTGAGCATGTGGGTCGTTGCGCATGGTGGGCTGGTGGCGCGCATCAGGGACAGCAGTCTAACGGCCCCTGCCAGGTACATTGAGCGTGGACAAACGGTAGGCATGTACGACTTTATCACCCAAGGCTTCGCAGCAGAGGTTGTTCAGGCCGCCACAAACGACACCGTGACGTATCAGCTTACGTCATCATCTCTCAATGACCTCCTCAATGAGCACCCTGATTTAGCAGCGCAATTTTTGCAAAACGTCTCGGAGCCCCTGCGTTTAATGGCCAATGAAGAATATCGTAGCCAGAGTTTTGTGACTCAAGTCCTGCGCCGGGCAGCATTGTGTTCACGTGTGCCAGGCCCTTTTGCAGTGCCACGCGACTGGGGATTGATTGAGGATCTTGTGCAGGATGTCGTGTCGACTGTGGCGCTGCAGAAGCTGACCATGCAGTATGCCCCCTATGTTCCCTTGCCTGTTCCTCGTGAGAGCAAGTTCTTCTTGGATAGGTTGGCATGCCACAACAATCTTGCCCT